GAAGGTCTAAAGGGAGGGAAATGAAAAGCAGCAGGCACAGGGAACACTAGCATAGCAATCCACCAGATGTTTAATACAGCCATACCTGTTTTAACAAAACTTTGTGACAAAAAGCTACTTTTTACAAAGTCTTCATGACTGCCCAGACCCCTTCATCCTCATTGTCTTCTGCCTAGCTGGATGTATTTTCAGAAGCAGCAGCATGGGGAGGATAATGAAAGATGGTTTGAGAAACACAGACTGGATCTACACTGCCATATAATGCAATTTGGAACTGAAATGTATGGTCAGTATAGATCCATCCAATGACATTTAATTGCACTGAACTGCATCCTATGGGTCTACACTGACCATATAATGCAGTTCCAAAAAGAAGCAAGTCTGCATTAATGTAATGAAAGCTGATCCTAATATTATGTAGCTGTATGCATTTGTTTATTATAGACAAGGTAAACATTCTTACAGGCAAGGTAAACAATTCCTGCCTCAAAAATGGTCATACACATCATTATCTCATTTCCTATGTGCATATAGTTAGTTTTGAATAAAAAGTCTGATGCAACATATTGAACTTCTTTTTGTGGTTTACGAGCCTATCCCCATTCTTTCCATATTATTTTTGCATCTGGTACCAACTTTTATTTTAAAGAAGTAATGCCCAGAAACTCATCTATTTGGTTCACTGAAGTATATCTCTACACAGAGATGATTTCCCTTGTGTTCAGTGGTATTTACCTCTTAGCAGGTATAATTTGAATTCCAGCAAAAGGATACAATTATCTAGTTCAGGCACGGGCAAACTTTGGCCCTCCAGGTGCTTTGGACTTCAACACCCACAATCCTAACAGCTGATACACTGTAAGGAATTGTGGGAGTTGAAGTCCAAAACACCTGGAGGGTCGATGTTTGCCCATGCCTGATCTAGCTCAATGGGCCTAACTGAAGACAACTGGAACTTAACTTCCAAGGACTGCCCCTCACAATGTAGCAAAGTCAGTCACCAGTAGAAAGATTTTTTGTCATATATTGCATTTATCTAAAAGCGATAGACCTGCCCTTTCCAGCAATGAGACCTGAGCTTGGCCAAATTATGTGTAAGAGTAAGAAAATGTGACCTAAATATATCTGCAAACTCTGGGAGCACAAAAACAACAGAAATATTTTTGAGTTATATGATGAAGTCATTGAAAATTTTACTTTGTTTTTCCTTCTAGAATAAAGAGTACAGCCATCCATTAGCTTCTTCAACTTTACTATAAGTCAACACACCCCAGAAATCTCCAAAATTTGGCTTCCTTTTTTGTGGATGAAAACTCGCCTCCCATGAATGAAGAAGAACATTATGAATTGCATAATTGGATGTCAAGCCACAGTTCTGTTCAAGATCTTTTTATTCATGACTACCCAAAAATCAATACAATGCTGCATATAAAACACTTTGATGAAGTAGCATAATGATTCTTAAATCACTTGCTGACTTCCTTGCATTTTTTGTACACTACAGGCATAACAAAAGTATATGACCTAAGTCTCTGTGGCATTTAATTGACTTTTTCTATTGTGATTAGCACCAGGATGTAAAGCTCTAGGTAATTACTATATTCTGCTGGTATGTGCTCCTTCCCCCACTGAAAAATCAAGACTGCAGTTCTATGCCTTCTTCCTAGGGAAGAAGCCCCACTGAATCCAGTGGGACATGTTGTTGCTGCTGCTGCTGTTATTTATACTCTACTTTTTCCCTCTACAAATAAGACTCTAAACAGCTTCCAATACAACCAATTCCATACAAGTTAAAACCCAAAAATATACAAACGTTAAAATAGAATTAAATATTAACCTTATGAAGAATAAACAAATTAAAATACTTAAAACTGATTCAGAGCTAAAACCATGCAGAGGATTACAAGCATGGAAGAGGCATCATAGTTCTATGCCCACTGGGCAAGGAAGCCAAACGTATCACCCTCTCCACTGAACCTCATTTCTGAGTCTTCTGACATGATGAAAGGATGATATCAGATCAGTGCCTGGGGGATTCTGGGAGTTGTAGACCCAAATATACACCACATTTTTAAGGTATTGTTGGGATACAGCTTGAATCCCCCTTGTGCAAAAATCTAAAATACTCTAAAACTTGAAACTTTCTTCTACCAGACACCCACTTCTGCCTTTAAGATACAGGGGCTAGTCAGATATCCAGTGCTCAGAGTTTTCCTCCATGATGGAAGAATGAGAACAGGGGGAAGAGGGAAAGATTCCACTAATACAAAGTCTCTGTAAAAAGTAGAAATCCCAGACACTGATGCATTTATCTTCCACTCAGTTGATAGTGGTACGTGACAGGGCGGGACCTTGGAAATAGCCATGAGAGCAATTGCAGAGCAATTCTATTGGCCACTGCCTCTATCCAGCCCAAGGCATATGGGAGGTTTATGGGAAGAGGTTTTCTCCCCCCTTTCTCTGGTACTTTGCTAAAAGGGCAGAAAGTGTACTGATTACTCTTGAGGAAAAACTCAGTGGATTCTGGATGTGTGAATAGCCCCCTTTTATCACATTTTTTACTTATTATGTTTAGGCAAATACAGATAGACCACAAATTGAAAAAAACCCAAAAGACCAAAAACTTCTCTTTCAGATAAAAGAGGTTTGCAAGATGAACTTGGATACCTTGCATTTATAAGGCAGAAGCCTTCCTATTATCTTGGAAACTAAAATAGGACTAAAGTGTGTCCTCTGGAATACAGATGTGAAGGCCTGAGGGGAAAAAAACAGAGAGGAAAATGGGGAAAATAATTTTCCTTTTTTTCTCAAGGTAAGCCTTCTTTTCATGAAAAAAAATTAAAGGAGATTATGTAATATTGTCTTTAAAAATGATGGATAAAATAATTAATACAATATGCTCCTCTATTTTTCACCATATCATTTTGAAAAATGATATAGCAGATAATCTTTTATGTAAGACTGTATGTAATAATTTACATAATTGCAAATCCTTTATTTGTTCCCCCCCCCCCTGTTTTATATGCAGAATCTGCCTGATGCTATAGAGAACTAAAACTGAGGCAGTCTTGTTGGATTATGAAAAACCTTTCATTAATGAAGATGAAAAATATTAGATTTGGCGTGGCAATCTGGATGACACCAGTTGCCTGCATTTTTGGACTCTCCCTGCAGAAATGGCATAGTTTAGTTATGATAACTTACAAATCAAAACATACTACTATTTAATTTAGTATGAAAAGGATTTTACTATTTAATTGCTCCCTAAACTTCTAATCAGGGAAGTGTGTGTGGTAAAATTTGACTCAGAATGATGGCAGATAGTGATGACTTTCTACAATTTTAGAAAAGCACAAGAAGGCATCCAGTCATGTACCATTTGGGAAATGATTGATTTTTTATAGCTGCCCTGCGCTGTTATTTTTACAATCTGCAGGCTACAACTATGATGAGGACTTTATGACATAATTGCTTTCATTATTCGTTAGACAAAAATGAGTCTATATATTTTATACCAAGGAAGCAACTCATACCAATAAAAAAAAGGATTAGCTATGACTGACTCTTCTTTTACTTCAAGTTGACAATACCTATGTAAGAAAAAGATACTGCAACTAATAGCATACAGTATTAAAAAGTACAATAAAACATTACAATAGTACATCTGGAAATTTGGCAGCCAAGCCTCGTCCTGTATTGTTCACTTTTAACTGAGATACTACAGTATTCACCGGGTATAAAAAACCACACAGAGACAAGGCTATTATTTGGTCTTTTAAGAAAAATCACCACCACAACAACAAAAAAGGCTGTGTATCTTGGGTTGCTCAGAAATTAAGTCTGAAGACAACAACTGCATAATGAGTGAAGAACATGGGATGGCACATCAAATACTTAAGAAATCCGGGTTCCAATGCATTTCAAGTTCTAAGAGGTCAGAAACACTGTAGCCAATGCAGATCAAAGGAACAAGAATTATACACACAATTGGCCCATTCAATGCATCAGGATGGGCAAAGTGAGGCCACTCCCTTCTGTAGACCCCAAGTTCCATTAACACCCCTGAAGCTCCAGACTGACATCAACCACACATTATTTATTTCATCCTGAAACAGATACTCAAATCTTTAAACTTCAGGAAGTAAAACCAAAAGTGATATCTGATCATTTCAGGGCTGAAAACTTGGCCAATATGACCTGGCAGTCGAGGCCTGGTGCAAAAGGTGGGCTTATCTCCACTGTAGTTGCCTATTTATGATATACAATCACTGGTGGCAGCAGGAAAACTCTTGGAAACATGTCAGAAAACCTGTTTCCTCCCCAAATACCTCTAACTCTCTGCTTTCTCATGTTCTCTATGAACTAATATCCTGCTTTTTCTTTTATATCTCAATTAAAATTCACAAAAGTCACTAAAATGCACTAAAGTTCGAGTGTCTTAAAAAATAGATCCAAACCATCAGCTGGTTCATAAAGTCCAAGGTTTTGCCCTGGCAGATATAACTATGAGAACAAAGCTCCACACTCTCAGCTATGTCTGTTGATGCCATTCCCCTGAAACCTACAATTTGATCCAAGCAGCACCCCAATTAAAGAGGCCTCCGGCACAGCAGATCAGGCTGCTGGGAAAGGACAGATTACTCCCAGTTGCAGGAAGCAATGAAATTGATTGCTGCATGCAGCCACTCCTCACAATACCTAGTAGGAGGCTGCTGCAATTATAATTTCCCTGCAACCCAATCTGCAGCACTTCAAAAACTGATTGGAGAGCTGACTGGATTAAGAGATAAGTGTGAGTGGTCATCTTCAGTTATAATGCCCATTAATATGAATCTCAGAAGTTAGAAGATAATAAATCTAACTTTGTCGTTGACTGCTGTAATGAGTAACAGGAATGCCCCCTCCCATCTTCCTAAAAAGTACGTAGTCTGTGGAGCCCCAAAAGTTACTTTAAAAAAGTAATCTCCAAACACATGAAGAAAAGCAGTTAAGTTACTCACCAAACCTCTGCTGAAAAGGGCACCCGCAACCCTCTTCTGATGTTGTCAGGGATTGGGGAGATACATGTGGAAGGAGGTATTCTTTCAATATCCCTTCTGTATGGCTTCCTAGCATTCAAAGAAGGGAGAAAATAAAGGGAATTTATGATCAATAACTATGACAAGGAACTCTAGTATATCTCTTTAAAAATCAATATTCTGCATCAAATCAGAAAAAAACAAAATGAACCTAGAGTATAGCATCATACATTCATATCAGTGCATTTGTTCTTACCTGCTACTGAAAATCACACTAATCTTTGACATTCAGTAGCACATGCCTTAGCGAAAAGCTTCAAAGATGAAATCTATGCTTTTTAGGTTATGATATAGTGCTGGGGGAAGAGGGGAAATCCTCAAGTAGTGCTAAACTTTGCAGTAATCAGTGAGAACTTGTTAGATAGGTAACAAACATCAGTAGGGTAAACTAGAAGGAGATGATCTGGTTAGGGAAACTCCAACAAGAATTATGCTATGTACTAAAAACCACAAATGCTAGAATAACTGTATATTGTAATTCAACAGCACATGAGCCTGTGACATCTAATATGAAAGCTCATTTCCTGCACCATCACAAATAGGAGTAGCTTCAAATGAAGGAGTTGGTCTTTTTGGAAACCACTTGTTCTTCATTTACCTGTAAGTATTTTTTATTTTTTGTGGATCTAAATTTTTATGAAGGTAGATGGTATTTTAAAGATGGGGAAAACCCACTTTCAAGGAGAAGCAGGCTGATTGTCCACAGGGTCTACAACAAGGAGATGGAGGCATCCAACTGCAGTTCCAAAGAGCTTTGGCCACCAAGGAATTTTTCACACCTGTTTAATGAAAATGAAGGGACCCAGGCAGCATGCTATAAAGGGATGAATGATACTACCAGTTGCAAACCAGCAAAGACTCAAGGAACCAGTAGAAACACCTCAGATCCAAGGAATTATATCTACCCACCATTCACAGTACATAAATCTAGCAAAACAGACTGCCTCCAGTTACTTCAGATCAGCTGCGTGCTTTCCTTACTATTTAGCAACTTATAAGTGATGGTTTATGAGAGGAGATTATTGTAGTTGCTCAGGAGATGCATTTGTTTGTAAACATACTTCTACACACAAACTATATATATACATATATATATAGTCAAAGGCTAATATATATATTAACAAATCTTACATAGTATGGTATTACTGGTGTATCAGTTTGAACTATTATTTGAATTTTCTACTACTGTTTAGTTTTTGGTATCTGAAAAGGATAGCAAATGCCTGCAAAACTATATTTATTAAGAAGGTTAAAAATAAACATCTAAGAGGACAGGAACTATATATAACACACCAAAACATTTGGGGATGGGTTAAGTTACAGATTCTTTCAACCTGCTCAAGAAGGTTGCATTGGACAGCTAATAAAATCACCCCTCATTGAGAGAGGGAAGAGAGAGAATGTTTTCAGCCACTGGTCTGTTTGCTAGATCATGTTTTAAAATAATCATAAGTGCTACCTAAAATAAGGAAGTCTGTAGATTTCAATACATTCATTATCGCATATAATGAATATCCCTTTGGAAATATAAAAAGAGAAACAGTGTACATGAAGAGGGAGAGTATAATTTAGGAGATCTGCAAGCTTGATGAAGTTCTTATAGTGAAGGCAGAATCAGAGTATGTTCACCTCCCACAAATGGCCATAAGCCATGTCAGGTGTCTGTTCTTCATATTAGCTGTGGAAGATCCTGGCATGTAAAATTAGCTCAAGACTTAGGAAGGAAGGAAACTGTTCATGCACTAGGTCCTTCAGCTCATCTTGCTTGGTTAGAGCAGCAGGAACAAACTGCATTTTCTTGCTCACATCAAGCCAACTGCAACAGTGCATGGCTCAGAGCTGGGACCTAGCACCAACCTTCAATCAAGAACCAAACTAAGATTTTGTATGATGTTCAGAGGTCATACTAGTCCTAGGAGTTTTCCAGGTGTGAAGCATTCCTGCCCAGAACCTTTCACACATAGCTTTCACAGAACTAGAAGAGCCATAGCAGTGAAATGGTGATACTGTTAAGACTGGGATGTGGGATATTCAGATTCAACTCCTAAATAAACCCACCATAGGTGGCCTGAAACTCTCTTTTCTCAGGCTGATCAGCCTTGTAAGCTTATTCTGAAGATACAGTGAAAAGGGAGGTTGCTAACTTCCCCATATTGAACTTAGCAGAGGAAAAATCACATGTAACTAATAAACAAATACCAAACTTCTAGATGAGGCAATTGATACTGACCTACCTACCCATTTGGGTGTATCTACACCGTAGATTACTGCAGTTTGACACCACTTTAACTGCCATAGCTTAATGCACTATGGGAATTGTATTTTTACAAGGCATTTCACCTTCTCCACCAAAATAATGATAGTACTTCAGCAAACTACACCTCCCATGATTCCATAGCACTGAGCCATGGAAGTTAAACTGTTGTGTCATCCTGTAATTTGGATGAAGCCTTAGTCCATCAATTTCATGGATCTGCCAGGCAAGGGGAATAGGAATAGGATAAAGACTGTAATCTGAATTCAGATTATATGTATACTGCATTGCCCTCTTTCTACTCTTTCCAGGACTCAAAATTCTTCTAGCTTCCAAAGCTATTGCTTGTTCTATACTGATCATACTATATCTATGCCAAAGACAAAAGAACATCTGAAGAACATCTGAAGAACTCTCACATTTTTAAATGCCCTACTTCCCCTTAGTTACTGTTGGGTATTTGCTTTACAGCTGACAGTGAATGAATGGAAAAATCAATTTCACCATGGAGTCTATTACAAAATTCTTTGCCAGCACAAAGGTCCCAGTAGAGACCCAATAATTACAGACTGCCTAAGGAAAGGAGTGAGAGGGGAGGTCAGACCTTTGCTCTGTTTTGTGATACCTCTTTGACACATGTGAGTCCTCAGAGAACAAAATCCAAAACAGAAAGAGTGTGGGGAAGGAGAACCGCACTCGGTTGTTTTCTCTTCTTTGTTCTGTATTTCCTTTTCCAAGTGCCACTAAGAAGCAAGCAGGGAGAACGTATCCTGGGGGGCAAAGTTCCCAAACTTATGCCAAGATCAACATACACAGTTGTGATACATTCAGAGAAAGCATAAGCCCCAGCCAATCTCGCTGTACAGATGCAATGCTGAAAAACAAATACTCTTGCTTTTGTGAGTGAGAAGGATGCTCACTCAGGCTGGGAACAATATGAAAAAATACATGGAATAGACAGTGCATCAACATTGTAAAATCAATGCAGTTAATTAAATGCTATGCAATCCAGTGATGCATAGTTTGGTGAGGTACCAGTACTCTTTGGCAGAGACAGCTAAAGTCCTTATAAAACTACAACTACCCATGATTCCATAGCATTGCATCATGACTGTTAAAGTGATTCAAGCTATTACTTCTGCAGTGTAGACTTTTAGAAGTGCTTCCAAATACAGAGCTTGGGGAAAAAATGGACTACAACTCTCAGAATTCCCTAAGCAGTTGCTGTGATGGCTGGAAGATATTAAAATGTGATTTTTAAAATCTCAGCTTTAGCAAAAGGACTGACAACTCTATTATCAGAGGCTACCAGTACAGTAAAATGTATTTTTTTAATAATTTGCTGCCCAGAGTTATGCCTCCTATGGGTGGCCCTGCTCCATGATAAAACCAACATGTTCTTGCCATAGGGTTTCCAGATAATAGAAGAGTGCTTCCAGTTAAACTTTTTATTCTGCAGTTGCCTCACCATATTAACAGAATTTTATGATGGTGGGATGTTTCCAGGTGATGATGTTTTCCATTTGCAATCCTTTTGTGTGTTTTTTTCTGGTGCTGTGTTTTGTCATTTGTTTTTCTTATCAGAAGAAAATACACACACCAAGGATGAACAGGATCAGAATGCTAGGAATTCTTCATCTGGAAACACCCTCAATCAGAAAATTGCACATGAATATGTATGTTTTCACATGCATACATAGAGCAAAAGAAAAAAAAAACCAGAAAAATAAAAAGTTTGAAATAGGTTACTTTCTTTTACATGTGATAACATTGGTAATTAATTTTAAATATTATCTTGAATGAACTTGGTACGGCTGTTGGGGCAACATAATACAGTGACAGAATATGGCCTGTGGGACACCCAACCAACCAAAACAAATTACACTGCAGTATAGTCAATTGAGTTTAGTCCCAGGCAAATATGCATAGGATTTCAGTTATAGTTCATGTGTTGTTGTTGTGTGCCTTCAAATAATTTCGGATTTACAGTGATCCTAAGATGAACCCATTACTGGTTCAGGTTGTTGTTGTTTTTTACAAGGTTTCTTCAGGGAAGGTTTGTCATCGCGTTCCTCTGCGGCTGAGAGAGTATAACTTGCTCTCATGTAGTGAGTTCCCATAGCCAAGCAGAAATTTCTACCCAGGTTCCCAGTATACCATGCTGGTTCTATTAGTACATGATCCATAATCGCCAATAACCAAAGTAATGAAAGAAATCACAAGAACTTTGGATGAATTTTTGAACATGAAGTTTAGCAATTTCACTCAATTATTCTAACCCCCTAACATTGTTATACTTTTATAAATGTTTGTTCCTTTATAAACACTAGAGGTTGTTAGACTGCAACTCCCATTAGCCCTAGCTAGCATTTGATGGAGTCATAGTCAAATAGTATCCGAGGGGAGGTGTGCAGTGTGCTACTCCTTGATTAACACTTTACACCACTTATTAAATGTAAAGAATAACAAATATGTGAAGTCCATCAAATTAAGTAGAAAGAACAGAAAAAATGTAGAAAGCTCCAAACTGTTGACAGAATTATGAATGGAAGAGGCAGGGACCTTTGACAAGAGCAATCTTTCTAGTTTTTTAAAGATCAACTATGAACACCCATCTAGCAATTTATGCCCATCAGATTCTTTATTATTCCTAGGCATGCATCTTGCAAGCAGGATGCTGTTTTATTAATATATTTTGATGGTTTTTATTTTATTGTCAGATAAAGTTGACTATTTGCAATACTGTGCTCCATTAATTTAAGTTAGATGCCA